TATCATCATTGATAAACTTTGTGCCTTTCTTTCTCATTATTATTAGTTTGTACGACCATAAATGAAAACAAAAAAAAATCCTTACATTCTTTCATTATCATTGTGATTTATTTTGTACGATCATAAACAATAAACTTTTGTGTTTTTATTAACATTATTATTAGTTTGTACAACCGTAAATCAAAAAAAAAAAAATCCTTCCATTCTTCATTCTCATTTTGCTTATTTTGATACAAACATAAACAATAAACTTCTGTGACTTCTTTATCATCATTTTTAGTTAGTACGACCATAATACAGCACAATACAAAAATATCCTCCATTCCACTCAGTGTTACCTAGAACAGAACTCTCCTCTGTGTGATGTTCCACCGTCTGTCCTGCTCACTCTGTTCTCCCGACGTCAACTTCACTGATTATTATTTCTCTTTAAATTCATTAATCTCAGTTCTCCTGAATATCTCAAACTGTATTTAATTCCATTCAGATCCTCTTACAGTTGATGTCACACAGATCAGATATTTTCTGTCACCCCAAGAGTCAAAAAACAAATAGGAAAACAATCTTCTATTATGCACTTTTAAAATACTCTGCAGTCTGTATGTGTGTGTGGTGAAGAGGAGCTGAGTCGAAAGGCGAAGCTCTCGATTTACCGGTCAGTCTTCGTTCCTCCCCTCACCTATGTTCATGAGCTCTGAGTAATGACCGAAAGGACGAGGTCGCAGATACAAGCTGCACAAATGAGTTTCCTCCGCAGGGTGGCTGGGCGCTCCCTTAGAGACAGGGTGAGGAGCTCAGTCACACAGGAGGAGCTCGGAATAGAGCCGCTGCTCCTCCACATTGAGAGGAGCCAGTTGAGGTGGCTTGAGCATCTGTTCCGGATGCCTCCTGGGCGTCTCCCTTGGGAGGTGTTCTGGGCATGTCCCACTGGGAGGAGGCCCCAGGGAAGACCCAGGACACACTGGAGGGACTATGACTGCGTTCAGACTGCAGCCTGAAGTGACCCAAATCCTCTATGTGGCTTCTATGTGACCTGTATCTGATCTTTTAATGACAGTCTGAATGACACAGATCCGATTTTTTCAAATGTGACCCAGGCCACTTGGATATGTGCTCCTGAAACTGATACATATCTGATCTTTTGACATGCGACTTCAGTGTGAACGACCAAAGTGCATTCATCCACCTACACGTTATCAACAAGACACAAACGTCACTATTCTGCGCTGAAGTAGGCGAAAATTGTTAATGAACTCTGTGTCACTAAAGTGAAGCACATCACCACTCACCACTCTTGGCTCCGTCTCCACATCCACACGTTCCTTTCAACAGACGTCGCTGCCGCTGTCCCACAAAACACCACGGCCAAAAACCTCGTCCTTCTCCTTCTCAATCTCCTCCTTAAAACAAGTAAGTTGTTCATGTTCTGGCTCCGGTACGAGAGGAACTTTAAAATCTCCAGGTGCTCAGTGCTGCGTCCATGTTTGGACAACTTCTGTAAACACAGAGACGCTCGCTGCGGTTGACGTCATCGTGTCTCCAGTGCACATGCGGGACACTTTCGGGCCGTTTACTGTTCACACTGGGGATCACATACAAGTCACATTTAATTGGAAATGTGAACGACCTCGCAAAAACATCGGATTTCACAAAAAAATCGGAATTGAGCGTTAAGCCCTGCAGTCTGAACGTAGCCTATGTCTCTCGTCTGGCCTGGGAACGCCTTGGGGTCCCCCCGGAGGAGCTGGAGGACGTGTCTGGGGTGAAGGAAGTCTGGGAGTCCCTGCTTAGACTGCTGCCTGCACGACCCGGCCCCGGATAAGTGGAAGAAAATGGATGGATGGATGGCAGTCTGTATGATGCTCTCAAGTTATTTCAGTGTTATTTTATGTGACAATAACAATAACGGAATTGAACTGAATTGAATTCCCTCATCGATTCGAGCATTAACTTCTGTCCCTTCATTTCAAAATGCTCTGGTTCAATATTTACACAACCTGTTCAATTGTTTTGGATCATTTTGTTGAATTTTGTTGTTCATCTTGTTGTATTTCGTGACAATATTTGAACTCTGCCTTAGTTTTTGTTCAGTTTTGATTTATTATGTGTCTAACAGTCGTGTGAGTGAGTGTGTGTGTGATTGTGATGATTTTGTTGTTTTGTTTTTCCATTGTTTACTTGAATATATTTATCCTCCTGTCTGTCCTCCTGTATCTGTCTTCTGTTGTTGTGACTGTGAGGACCCCCTTGAAAACGAAGATGGTGAAACATCTCAAGGGGCTTATCCTCCAAACAAATACATTCAAATTCAAATACATCATTTTGGAATTTTTGAAACTATCTCATGAACATGAACAGGGTTAATAAGTTTTTTCTTCTTCCCACTCCTTTTTGAGAAATGTGTTTATCTGTTGTTTACAGTGTTGGGAAGGTTACTTTTAAAATGTAATCCCCTACAGATTACAGATTACATACCCCAAAATGTAGTTTGTAATGTAATCCATTAAATTACTTAAAGTGAGTAACGTAATCTGAATACTTTGGATTACTTGATTTGCTGTAGAGAAACAAAGACGAGGATATTGTAACATAAGAAGTTTTGTCTGGTAAAGAAAATAAAAAGCCCAGACTTTACTGAACCAAATTAAAAATATTATTGATAGAAGAAGAGGAGACACGTCCACACAGCAGGATTTAGTCCTGTTTTAGTCCTGATTTAGTCCTGGTTTAGTCCTGGTTTAGACCTGGTTTTAGTCCTGTTTTAGTCCTGTTAAATCCTGTTTTAGTCCTTTTTTTAGTCCTTAAAAAAAGGGGGTATACAGCCCAAAATGTGGAAAACAAGAAAACAGGAAAATATCGCCATGTAATCCATTTATTTCAACAAAGTAACTGTAATCCAATTACCACTCACTGGAACAGTAACTGTAACTGAATACAGTTACTCATCATTTGTACTCTGCTTACGTAACTCCGGTACATGTAATCTGTTACTCCCCAACACTGGTTGTTTATAATGTGTATGTAGTATGTTTATGATGATTGTTTCTGACGAGATCCACTGTCTTCACAAGTAAAACCACGACTCTGAACTAAACACATGCTTTTCTTTAACATGACTTTTTATTTTGAATCATGAACGGTAAACTTGTGTGTCTTCTTTGTCATTATTGTTAGTTTGTATGACCATAAATGAAAAAAAAAACAAAAAACATTCTCATTGTTATTTATTTTGTTACAATCATAAACGATAAACTTCTGGATCTTCTTTAACATTAAACTTTTCCATGACTTTTTCATGACCTTAAGTGAATTTCCCATGACTTTACAGCACCTACATGTGTAGAACTGATCAGACTTTTAGAGCTAAATCTGAAATGTTAACCCTTTCCACTCACCTTATGGTTTGGGATTATAATTTTTGAACGTTCAAAATCCTGTCAGTGCATTTATTTTCATCTCTTTTTGTGAAAGAGATACTAAAATTCCATGACTTTTCCAAAACTTTCATTGAAGTTACAAAATTCTGTGGATTTTCTAGGCTTGAATTAAATTACATTTTCAATTTCCAAGACTTTTCCAGGATTTGCATGACCATGGGAATCCTGCATAATACAGTACAATTAAAAAAAAGAAGAATGAAATTCCCCGGACTTCCCCGGGGAAGACCCAGGACACACTGGAGGGACTATGTCTCTCGTCTGGCCTGGGAACACCTCGGGGTCCCCCAGAGGAGCTGGAGGACGTGTCTGGGGTGAAGGAAGTCTGGGAGTCCCTGCTTAGGCTGCAGCCCCCGCGACCCGGCCCCGGATAAGTGGAAGAAAATGGATGGATGGAAGAATGAAATTGGGTTAAAATTATGTAATTATTATATGTAAGTATTTTTGCTGTATCTAAATATTCGTAAAGTTTCGTGATCAGTGTACAGAAGTAACCATCATTTTGGAATTTTTGAAACTATGTCACGAACAGGGGTGGGTTAATATAAGTTTTTTTTTTCTTCTTTTAGAGAAATGTGTTTATCTGTTGTTTATAATTTATAATGTGTATGTTGTATGGGCAGTGTTGGGGAGTAACAGATTACATGTACTGGAGTTATGTAATCAGAGTACAAATGATGAGTAACTGTATTCAGTTACAGTTACTGTTTCCAGTGAGTGGTAATTGGATTACAGTTACTTTGTTGAAGTAAATGGATTACACGGCGGGATTTTCCTGTTTTCACATTTCGGGCTATATCCCCCTTTTTTTTTTTTTTTTTTTTTCGGTAATTCCACTCATTGCCAGACACTAAACCAGGACTAAACCAGGTCTAAACCAGGACTAAAACCAGGACTAAGACCAGGTCTAAACCAGAACTAAACCAGGACTAAAACCAGGACTAAGACCAGGACTAAACCAGGTCTAAAACAGGACCAAAACAGGACTAAATCCTGCTGTGTGGACGTGTCTCCTCTTCTTCTATCAATAATATTTTTATTTGGTTCAGTAAAGTCTGGGCTTTTTATTTTCTTTTATCAGACAAAACATCTTATGTAACGATTTCCTCGTCTTTGCTTCTCTACAGCAAATCAAGTAATCCAAAGTATTCAGATTACGTTACTCACTTTAAGTAATTTAATGGATTATGTTACAAATTACATTTTGGTGTGTGTAATCTGTAATCTGTAGGGGAATACATTTTAAAAGTAACCTTCCCAACACTGGTAGTATGTGAGTGATTTTTGTTTCTCTCTTGGCACAAACTCGAAATAAAAAACGAATCAAATCAAATAAAAAAAATGAGTCTTTGAAGCGAACGGATCCAAAAGACTCGGATCCCGCGGATGGAGCCAAAAGTCCCATCAGCACTCTGGAGTCACATCGGCGCATTGTCAGTAAAAGTGCAGAAAATCCAAGTGCGCATGTAGAACGAGCAGCTGAACAAACTGCCTCCGCTCTTTCCGTGTCTGCGCGTGCTGGCTCCGCGTGCGTGCAGCGGGCCAATAGTCACACGGAGTTACACAAGCGCTTTCAGTTCAGAGCCCTGGCTGCTGCTGCTATTGCTGCTGCTACTTCTGCTGCTCCCGCCCACCGCAGAGAGCTGTGCCGCCGCTGGGAGGACTGGGCAGAGCGAGCCGACCAGTTCCGCCTTCCCTCAGCCCTACGCCGGACGGAGCTTCACGAGGACCTGCGGCTCTGCGTCATGGAGGACGGAGCGCAGCCGGAGGTACGGGAAGGCTCGCCGTGAAGTGCGCGTCCGTACGGGAGCTGGAACCGGAGAGCCGCGCGTCGTCTCTCTCCGGTTCGAGCCAAACTTTGACGCCGTCGCTGCACCGCCCCCTTTCCTCGCGCCCTCTCGCTTCAACGCAAAGTGCACACGCGCACGCGGGCTCAGCGGGGTCCTCGTGATGATGATGAGCCCGTGTTTGTGGCGGGAGCTCGCGCGCTTTACGTGTACGAGCGGGGGACGTGACACCGAGCTCTCTTCGCAACTTTTCGGTGGGTACGTAGTGCGCGTGAGAGTATGTGCGCGTACGTGGAGAGGAAGACACCCGCGCGTACGCATGTAATAAGGCGGTGTGTTACGGGATTATGTCATGTGCGTAATGTTGTTTTGACAATGGTGACGTAGAGCGTGACGTGCCGTAACGATGAGATAAGCAGATCTGCTGTGTGTATGTGTGTGTGTGTGTTTGTGTGTGTGTGTGTATGTGTGTGTCAGGGCGCGTGCACCTCACCCTCACGGACACTGGGGGATTTTTGAGCTGCGCACTAGAGATGTTCCCCGCGCCGCTCCGTACGCACGCGGCGGCTCTGCGCGTGTGTATGTGTGTGTGTTTATGTACGTGTGCATGCGCGCTCCGTGTTTGTTCCCTGTCTGTTTACACACCTGACACGCGCGCTCCGGCCGTGTGGTGTGACGTCATCCCGCCATGAGGCACGCTGTACATTGGTGGTGTAGTAAAGCAGCGTGCGGAGGATGTGCTCTGGAGTACAGGTGCACGTGTTCTGTGTCAGGGCTAAACTCTGATTCACCAGCACCGCACCGTCCACTATTACCTCACCAGTACCAGTACCAGTACCAGAACCTTACACTATTACCTTAACTTACTAGTACTAACAGATTACTAACGTCTAATCATGAGTCAGTACGTCCAGCATCAGGAGCGTACACGTTTCCTTCATAACACTGCACATGTGCACTCCGCAGGACGGCACTGAAGTCTGGGCTGTGTCACACTTTCTGACAGAGGAAAAGGACAGGCTTTTACAAGACTCCTGAGTAATGATCTGCACAATTTTGAAAAAAGCAGCACAACAGAAACAGGATTTTCATTGAACATAAATTGAAGCTTCACAAATGTAAATTAAAGTGTCCCACATGTATCTGAGTGACATTACTATGACCACGCTCAGACTGCAGGGCTTAATGATTGTTTTGTGAAATCTGATTTGTTTGTGAGGTCGTTCACGTTTCAAATTAAATCTGATTTGTAACGCTCCAAAAGTGTCCCACATGCGCACTGCAGGACACGACGACGTCACACACAGCGAGTGTATTCAGTGTTTACGGAAGTCGCCTAAACGCTGGACTTGTCTCCCAAAATACGATTTAGTTCTTGGTAAAATGGACAGGTTACACGTCCATGGCCACTTCATTTATTTGAGTTTTTAGTCTCCGTGTATTTTGCTCGCAGGCTCTTTATTTTTCATTGATATTGGAGCACTCGGACATTTATTTGGCAATCATTTCAAAAAACGTCCAGTTCCGGTAAGATGTCTCCAATTTGGCCTGAATACAGAGATCCCCCAAAATATGAATAAACTCACTAACCTCGCTTTCCCTCCATTGATGAGACTCTGAGCCTGACGTGTAGGTGGATGAATGTGACCTGACCGTTCAGACTGAAGTCGCGTATCAAAAAATCGGATATGTATCAGTTTTAGGAGCACATATCCAAGTGTCCTGGGTCACATTTGAAAAAAATCAGATCTGTGTCGTTCAGACTGTCATTAAAAGATCAGATACAGGAGCGTAGGGGTGAAAAAATCAGATTTGGGTCTCTTCAGACTGGCATCAGAGTCATTAGAGGAAGAACTAATTATTATTATTTTTTTTCCAATGATGAGGACGTATGTGTTTGCATGCTAGTTGGTATTTGGAAAAAACTTGAAAACTCAGTGTTGTGAATAATCAGGATGCTCATAATGCATAAGGTAACTGTTTCACATGGTAAAAATCAGGTAGGCTACAGCGCCTTTAAAGGGACAGTTCAGAATTTTGGACATAGAACCTCATTTCCTAGTGAGCCAGAGTGTTGGAGACGTGTGGAGACACTTTTTGAAATATTCCATCCAGTCCTTGTATTTGCAGAAATCACTGGTGCTAGGCTAGTGCATGTCAATGGCAATAGTTAGCCTAACATTAAAAATAGTCTTACCCACTCCACAAAACACCCAAAGAAAATCTATTATTACACCAGACTGTTCACGTAAATGTTTGTGTTGATAGAATAATGTTTGAAATAAAACTAACCTTGCTTCGCATGAATCGACGCATGTTGAGGGACTATTTTCTCACATATCAGTGCCGAGCTTTCTATCAGGAAGAACAACTCACTGCTGCTGCTCAGACAGAAATCCTTCAAATGCAAGGTTGGTTTTACTTCTACAATAATTTTATCAACACAGACATTCACATGGACAGTCTGGTGTAATAATAGATTTGTTTGGGGTGTTTTGTGGAGTGGGTAAGACTGTTTTTAGTGGCAGGAGAACTATGGCCATAGACATGCACTAGCCTAGCACCAGTGACCTCTGCAAATACAAGGACTGGATGGAATATTTCAAAAAGTGTCTCCACACGTCTCCAACACTCTGGCTCAATAGGAAATGAGGTCCTATGTCAAAAATTCCGGACTGTCCCTTTAAAGTAAATTTAATTGTAAGTATTTTAAGATTATAATTTCTTAAAATGACATTCAGTACTAGGGTGTTAAAATTGAAATGAAAATGAGATATTATTCAATACTAAAACTAGCGTCGAAACTAAAGACTCATTTGAGCAAGTATCGGTACTAAAAGTGTCACATTTCCGGTCCGGAAACCTTTAAAATGATGTTGAGCTGTAACAGAACAAGTATAAGGGCATGTAGATTAGTACACGCACATGGAGCACTGTGGAACCGACCTGGACCACTGAGGATTACACAGATATAAGACCACGTGGGTATATCAAATTCATTATTATTTAATACTGAAAATCACATTCGGCCTTAAGCATCAAGTCTATTTCTCGTAATAGAGTTTGAAATGTTTGTATCCCGTCAACAAAACTCAGCACAATTATTGAATCAAGACTAATAACAAACTACCATGAAATATGAATGCCGTAGAATTGCCGCAGAACTCTTTACTTGTGGATGTGGCTTGTTGCCGTAGTGAATCACAGATCAAAATGTGTCGCCTTTAAACAGGAAGCTGAAACCCATGTACTGAGAGAAGTAGCCTGTTTTCCAGGTTCTGACATTGAGAAGCTATTGTGTTAAGCATGTAATACAAACAATATTGAACGGGACCCAGCCCTACAGACGGTTATGTAATCCCATGACTCTCTCCACCGGCCTACGGAGCGCAGGACAAAACTAGTGCTGCAAAGTTAATCACAATCGAATCAAAAATTGAATTTAAATGGATGCAGTTAGCAAATCACAGAGGCTGCTGTTTTTTTTAAAGAGGGGATATTTTATTTCTATGGGGTCACAACTGCCAACACAAACATTTAGATCACCATGTTACCTTTTTTTTGATGCTTTGAGTTCATGTAACTTATATACTATGCATACTAAATATTATTTTAACCCAATTTCTTTCTTTTTTTTTTTTTTTTTTGTATTTGTATTATAGTCATATAAACTAATGATGATGAAGAATGCAGAGCAGTTTATCGTTTATGATCGTATCAAAATAAGCTGTCGTTTTTTTTTTTTTGATACCAGAATCTTATATGGTTAGTATAAGGAGTTTACAAGAACCAAAAGAGGTCACTAGATTACTCAAACATGCCTGGATGACATCTGAAACCTCATCATGTTTTTGGTGAGGAAACAACATGGTAGCAGGCTTTAAAAAAAAAAAAGTTTGCACTATACCTCCTCTTTAAGTAGTGTTGTAGTACTGGAGACCGGTCTTGGTGTTGAGACTGGCCTCGAGACCGTTTTTTTACAGTCTTGGTCGGACTCGACCACTATTGGACTTGGTCTTGTCTCAGACTCGAGGTCTGACACTCGACGAGCGTGATCATATTTCATTACGGCCGCTGCTGTCGGCAATAAGCTTCTTACCACGCCATGTGGCTGCAGTTTGCTTAATAAAAGTGCACAAATGCATCTGCATTTGTCACGGAGTGTGTTTGGTGAATGTGCAGAAGCTAAATCCCACTGTAAAACCAGTATAAAAAGAATGTAACTTCAGTTAGGAACTTGGAAAATCAGGCTTAAAAATCCTGCCCACTTTCTTTACTTTCTTCACAGTTTTGTGTAAAGTGCCAGTTGAAGTTCTTTTAAAGAAGCGGTTCTCAAACTGTGGATGAGTGTTTCAGTGCTTGGCTTATTTTAGGCCTAAATGAAGATTAATCAGATAAAATGGAGATAGATTTATAAAAAACGTTGATATATATGTGCCAACGTAACTGTAATGTCGAAAATGACAAAGATGGTCTTGATTTGGTCTTGATGGGCCATAGTCTTGGTCTTGTCTCGGTCTCGACCCCCAGAGGTCTTGGTCTTGTCTCGGTCTTGACCCTCAGAGGCTGTGGTCTTGTCCTGGTCTCTGGACCCTGAGGTTTTGGACTGGTCTTGGTCTCGATTAGTGTGGTCTTGACTACAGCACTATTTTTAAATACCATAATTTCCTCCACAAACAACAAAATATCCTTTCTCCTTCTGCATAGAAACACTGCTAACCCTGGAGTTTAGATCTGTGCGAAACGGTCACATTTTTATACAGAGCTTTTCCTCCTTCAAAACTCTCAAAGCTTTTACGCTGTTACAACAAGGAACCACTCACTCATACACACACACACACACACAACAGTGTACGCACACACTGGGGGCGAGGAGGGTTAACGCTGCTCCAACTGAGCTACTGCTGTTCTAAAATGTCATTCTTGTGTTAGTTTGTCAGCTCATTTTTCAGTCTTTTGTCAGTTCTTCTGGACAAAGCCGCAAATATAATCACAATCACAATCATAGTCTGAAAAAAATCCAAAATCAGATCCTTTCCAAAATCGTTCAGCCCTAAATGGAACATATGAAACACTATTGGCAATATCCGCCATGTTTTTTTCAAAAACCACACAATCTCGATCCTTAGACCACTCTCTTGCTTCATTTACTGTTTGCCTTGCTGCCGTGGCAACACATTCAAATAAATGACAGGAAAATGGGTGTGCGGAGTCAAAATGAAAGTTCAGAGCACATTACTCATCTTTGTGTCTAAAAATGCAGAGACTAAAACTCACCCAAACTCATCGCGAGGGACGAGAAAGGGGGCGAGATGGAAAGTTTTTTCTATTTCTGTGACTTTTGTGAGCTTCATGCCGTGTTATAATGTTGTTACCACATCAAAAACATAGCTGGAGTCATGTTTTGTTTCATTCACACATTTATTATTAGTCTGTCTGCGTCTCCAAAGCTCAAAATGCACTGTTCCGTCTGGTGATGTCATGAAGTGGTGGTTAACAGCCACGTTTTACCTTTTGTTCGGTAGAGATTTGCAATTCCAGAGCTGAAATCATCCAAATGATTCTAGTGAAGGCGTATTCTCCTTTGAGTTTGCGTGGAAATAATAATTCTGAATTGAGGTTTACTGGAAAACACACTGAATCATCTTATTTAATTCCACTTAGCATCTGGGGAAGAGTTCTGATTGGACAGGAACACAAACGTATTTACGTGAACCGGAAGAAAACACACACTTCAGCTGCTACCGGATTTTCTGTTATCTCGGTTTGTCGTTATGCCACGGACACAAACATGATCCAAACTTTTTCCGCAGTGAGAATTGTCTGAACTGGAGAATTGTCTCATCACGCTTTACGTCTGTGAGCTGAGGAGGAGAAGGGAAGAGTGTCGGAGAAGGGAGGAAGAAGACAAAGTGAGTGTGAGGCTGCTCTACCACATCCCGCTCTCAAATCCAAAGAGACGTGGATGAAAGTCCGAAGAGAGGACTGGTGGAGCCGGATCGAAGGGATCGTGTCAGAACGGCGACACAGCGAGCATGAACTGAAATACTGACATTATTTTTAAGAAGAATAAACGTGAAACATGATCGAAGAATAGGGCTGGGTATCGTTAAGAAGTGGTTGATATGATACATACCTCGATACAGTGCACTTTCAGTGATACATTTCAAATCGATTCAATGCAGTTCAATAAAAAAAAGGCTAAATCATGACTGTGATACTAAAAGTCTTTGTTAAACCACTTCTTGTGTAAAGTTCATATGAAACACAAACATTTTAATCATTAAAACAGTGAAAATGTGAAATGTGTTGCATAAACAAGTTTCCTTCTTCTAAACAAGCAACAAAACTGTAGCGCTGTTACAAAATAATTTAGCAAAATATACCAAAAAAATACTCTCGGTGATAAAATCTGAATAAACCATGCACTTACTTCGGAATTAATTCTGAATAATCGTTCTCATTAGGAATGAAGTGTTTACATGGTCTTTTAAAAGCACAACTAATTTTTATTCAGAATTTAATTATTTATATTTGGAATCAAAGCTTTCATATAAACGTGGCAAATAGAGCACTTCCTGTATTATCACATGACATCACAAGGTGGAACAGAGTGTTTTCTGTTTGAGAGAAGAACTCAGCCTAAATGTGCAGGATTTGTGTGTTAAACAAAACACGACTCCAGGTCTGTTTGTGATGAGGAATCATTATAACAGAGATCAGAAACGTGTAATATGGGTCCTTTAAAGTCCTGACAGGAACATGTACACTCACTCAAATATCCAGAAAGTTGTACTCAAGTAAGAGTAAGAAATCCTGAAGTAAAAGTATAAACTAAGAAAGAAACTAAAGAAAGTCTACAAGCACGAAAAAGATTAATATCAAGATTAATATGCAAATCAACTTTTTTGGAGCGTTTTACCATATTATATAATATTGTTCTCTCATCAAAAACATGCCTGAAGAGGTTTTAGATGTCATCCATGTATGTTTGAGTAATTTAGTGATCTCTCCTGGGCCCTACACTTTAAAAAAACAGTGCCAAAATTAAGATATAAGATAGAAAATGACTTAAAAGTAGTGAAATGATCTGTCCATGCAGCGAGATTATTTTTACTTGACTAGTCATCGTAAAATAAACTAGACTAGACTAGATTAGAATGAAGCAGTCTGTGGTAAGTGTTCATGGGCTGGAAATAAGTTTATGGATGCTAAGTTTGAGATAAACAGACTTGAGTATTGAGCAAATCTGAATCAATCACTGAATCTAAAAACAAGTGAAGTGTTGCAGGGGAAATCTACGGTAAATGGATTGTAGCTTCTTCTAAACACTTATTGCCTAAATTTAAGATTTTCAGAGTAGGTGGGTCATGGAAAAAATATATGTGACAATTTTTAAGATTATACAACCAATTCAGAACTAGTAAGTAGATAATAAATCTGAAAACAAGATGAATAACCCGATATACATTTTAAAATCTTGGTCAGATTAGAGAAATTTGCAGTGTTTTCAAACCAGAGTCCTGCACTGGGCTCGGGTAAATAGTTACTGAAATGGTGGGTTTTAATATTCTGGAATTTTATGGGCGGGTATGCAGGCGGGTAGTGATTAAACACGGGCGGGTCAGGACTAAATTAGGCCTAAACCAGCACTACACCAGGACTAATCTTGGACCCTGAGCCTGTGGAGCAGGGTGTCCGTAAAGCACGATTGGACGAAGGCTGCGCTCCGTGCAGCGCGGTTCTTCCACCCACATCACCCTACGGTCTACACGGGTGCACCTCCGAGCTCGTCCCAACAGTGAGTCCTGGTTCAGTTCTGGGTTAGTCCTGGGTTAGTCCTGGATTAGTCCTGGGTTAGTCCTGGGTTAGTACTGGGCAGTGTTGGGAAGGTGACTTTTAAAATGTAATCCCCTACAGATTACAGATTACATACCCCAAAATGTAGTTTGTAACGGAATCCATTAAGTTACTTAAGGTGAGTAATGTAATCTGAATACTTTGGATTACTTGATTTGCTGTAGAGAAGCAAAGACTAGGATATCTTCACAGAAAATATTTTGTCTGCTAAAAGAAAATAAAAACCTGGTTTTAGACCTGGTTCAGTGTCGGACAATGAGTGGAATTACCGAAAAAAAAAAAGAAAAAAAAAGAAGGGATATAGCCCAAAATGTAAAAACAGGAAAATACCTCTGTGTAATCCATTTATTCCAACCAAGTAACTATAATCTAATTACCATTCACTGAAACAGTAACTGTAACTGAATACAGTTACTCATAATTTATACTCTGATTACGTAACTCTGGTACATGTAATCTGTTACTGCCCAACACTGGTCCTGGGTTAGTCCTGGTTTAGTCCTGGGCTAGTCCTGGATTAGTTCTGGATTAGTCCTGGGCTAGTCCTGGATTAGTCCTGGGTTAGTCCTGGATTAGTCCTGGGCTAGTCCTGGATTAGTCCTGGATTAGTCCTGGATTAGTCCTGAGTTAGTCCTGAGTTAGTCCTGGGTTAGTCCTGGATTAGTCCTGGATTAGTCCTGGGTTAGTCCTGGTTTAGTCCTGGATTAGTCCTGGGCTAGTCCTGGATTAGTTCTGGATTAGTCCTGGATTAGTTCTGGATTAGTCCTGGATTAGTTCTGGATTAGTCTTGGATTAGTCCTGGGTTAGTCCTGGGTTAGTCTTGGGTTAGTCCTGAGTTAGTCCTGGTTTAGTCCTGGATTAGTCCTGGGCTAGTCCTGGATTAGTTCTGGATTAGTCCTGAATTAGTTCTGGATTAGTCCTGGATTAGTTCTGGATTAGTCCTGGGTTAGTCCTGGGTTAGTCTTGGGTTAGTCCTGAGTTAGTCCTGGTTTAGTCCTGGATTAGTCCTGGGCTAGTCCTGGATTAGTTCTGGATTAGTCCTGAATTAGTTCTGGATTAGTCCTGGATTAGTTCTGGATTAGTCCTAGTCCTGGATTAGTCCTGGGTTAGTCCTGGATTAGTCCTGGATTAGTCCTGGGTTAGTCCTGGATTAGTCCTGGGTTAGTCTTGGGTTAGTCCATGGCATTTGTGGTGCAAAAGTGCGGCATCTCGATCAGTGTTTCTTTTGCTCAGTAAATAAAGCCTGTGAAAGCGAAACCATTTCATTTCATGATTGTAATTCTTGAAGTCGTAACTTTTCAAATCGTATTCTGATGGACGCTTCAGTTTGGATGCTTTTAATTTGTGTGTGATTCATCACGGGCGCGGGCGGGTGATGGGTGAAATGTTAACGGATCCAGGCGGGTGCAGGTTTAACTTTGATATAAAGACAGGGTAACGGGCGGGTGCGGTGCTGTACTGGGAGGATGCAGGTCTCCAAAAATGGACCCGTGCAGGACTCTAATCCAAACCCTTCTTATATTTAGGTGTAAGATTCTGTCCAATGCTCCAACTACAATCCTACATCACCAAAAACACGAGACAAAACTGTACACAACAACTTCACAAACCTGATGCGATGTGCAGGAGTTTCATTCGCAAAATGTCCCCTGATTTTAAAGACCAGAGTTACTTATTTACTTTATGCATTCTGATTGTTCTAATTATTCACCGTGATGAGTTTGAGTCACAGCTTTCAACAAATAAGTAACGCTTTTTTTCTTTTTGCAGTAATTTGTGTCGGGAGGTCCAGCGGTCATGACCAACACAGGGCAGCTAACACCTCTGAGGATTTATAATGAGAAACTCGATTTGAAGTTTTGGAAGTTTTTGCCCATTTGTGAAGGATGACCTGTACCTGTATCCGTCTGACCATATTCCTACCTGGATTCAATTTGGGAACGTTCCAGATACTGCACTGAATTCACTTGGGAATCATCAAAATGGAGAAGGACTTCACACAGTAGCTTCCTCTCCCTCTTCTCCACATGTTTTTGCACTCACCACTGAGACCTTAAAACTTCAACATAACCCTATGGACCTGCTCGTACGTCTAATCTTCCAGTCTTAACTTTCATAAATGGACCTATCTGTCTGTCAATAGAACTACAAAAGAACTACAAACATGTCCGCCACCACAAAGAGACACCTGGTTCGGGACTTTAACCACTTCATCACCTGTTACCTGTGCCGCGGATACCTGATCAAACCCACCACCGTCACTGAGTGCCTGCACACATGTGAGTACGAACACAGCACTTTTTCACTTTGTCACTCTCACCTTTTTGTTGAAAATCAAACTCTTAAAACGGAACCACGAACGCTCGGACTGATCACAGGTCTGTGTACCGTTTGTTCTTTTCGAATTTCAATTAAGAACGAAAAATAATATGAAGGAAAAAGTTTGTTATTTCATTTTTCCATTTTAGTGTCAGACAAAAAAAAAAACAGATTTCAACCTCTGTTTCCAATATTTAATTTAAAGTTCATTTCAAATAACACCAATCAAAAAACAGTCATCGTGCCTTTTTCAATTTTTATATTTTATTCTGTCTGGTTTATCTGTCTGGTTTATATGAAATTATGCTGCTAGAAGGACCTACCTGAATAACTGACAAACGGGCCCGGCCAAGCAGAAGTAAACAACAAGGCCAAAAATTCAAGTTAATGCATCTGATATAAAAATGTATTGAACAGATACATATGTACTCTAGTTTATGAAACTGTTGACCTTTTTTCTGTACCATCTAAAGTTCCATATGTTTTAAACAGACCATGTATGAAACATGGAACAAAAATTATTTCCCAAATTTCAAAGACCTGCAAATCATGTAAATAAATGGATGTATTTCATCATATCTTGTGTTATTCCATCTTTGAACTGTTGATGAAGGTACAGGATTTTTCAAAAAAAAAAAAGTATTTAAAATGATAAAAATTTGCTTGGAAGGACTGACATATTTTATAGAAATAGTTTCCTTTCATTTTGAAGTAATATTAAAGTTTTTGGAAGAAAAAAGTGACAAATGATGTAAAATCATGCACCTTCTACTTGTTTGTACAATTTTCCCTCCGTTACTTTTCCCTCCGTTACCATGACCTTTCTTAATAAAAAATCTTTTTTTCAACCTAATCTTGTACCATATGGTAGAAAACTATATGAAGCAAATATTCAAACCAGTTTGTTAAGGATATGGAAGTGAGAACCAAGAGTTTCACTGTTTGGATTTTTATTGCCCAAAAAGTGCTGCATATTTCATTCCCTCCGTTACCAACATGAGTTTTTAAATTTTTTGTCAACAACTTGAAAGAATATCACAGGTTTAACTTGACCCTGTTGGAGTGTAACTCTTTCCTACATTCTGATACTTTACTTATTTCAATAGTCCCTCTAGTTTCTGAATAAGAGACATTTGAATGTCAAAAAATCTGCCCGTTTCCCTCCGTTACCACTTGACCAGAACGAAATATGTCCTCTTCTGTTATAGTGTTTACATACAGTCTTAGAAAGTTTCACATTTTTCAAGTATAAGGTGCACTTAAAATCCTTGAATTTTCTCAAAAATGGACAGTGCGCCTTATAATCCGGTGCACCTTATGCATTAATTCTGGTTGTGTTTATTGACCTCGAACTGATTTTATGTGGTACACGCGCTCAAAAATCGGTCAGAATGTTTTAGTACGACTTTGGTAAGATACAAAGCTTGATGGATCCTCCAGCTACTGTAGTCAGGAGCCTTGTGGAGTAAAGGGTGAAGTATAGTTCTGCATCGACTCAATGCACACTGCTTCCGTCGCCTTGTCGCCATTTTTGATTTATTTACACATTAAACACATCATTCCTCAAACTTAAATGATCCACCCACATTCATAATCCACATTCACCAAGACAGGGAGGCAACGGCGGGCGAGTTACACCACGATCTGCCGATGGATCGTGGACGCCTGGACTAAGGATCAGCTTCAAGTGTCGTCCGTTTGTTTTGCTTAATGCGCCTTATAATCCTGTGCACCTTATGTATGAAAATAGACGAGAGAATTCAACATTATTGATATTGCATTGGGTGACCAAGCGTCCATTTTGATCCGGACATGTCCGTATCTTGCGTCCTGTCCGGGGTGTCCGGGTTTTTTTTTTTAAGTGATGCAAATGTCCGGGTTTTCATTAGCGTTCATTGGGGGCATTAAACTGAGCGTCTCTCGTAGTGTCTGTGACTCAGAAGGAGCGAGACACAAACAGTCGGTCAGTCTGCAACATACCGAAACGCAAATGCGCATTTAACAATGACTTGTACAAGAAATTCTCAGTTTTCCGGCCCAGTCAGGACAAGTGGGAGGCCATTGCACAGGTTGCGAGGTGAGAGTACAGTGGTCCCTTGTTTATCGCGGGGGTTACATTCTAAAAATAACCCGCGATAAGGGAAATCGATGAAGTAGTCAATATTTTATGATTATTATATCTGTGTTAAGGCTGTAAAACCCCTCAGCACAAACTTTATAGACTTTTTTCAGACAGGACAGGACAGTTACAATCCTTTTTACATCCTTCTTAAAACTTATTGCTACTGTCGTCCTTTTGTTATTTTCCTCCTTCTTTATGTAACGAACCAAATATTATTTTATTCCGTAATAGAGCCTACAGCGCAGAGTCCCGCACGGGTCCATTTTTGGAGACTCACAGTACAGCACCGCACCCACCAGTACAGGACCACACCTGGCCGTTAACCCGAGATTGTATCAAACTTTTGCGCTGCCTACGCCACGGACTGAACTAAGACTAAACCAGGACTAACCTAGGACTAACCTAAGACTGATTCCAGGACTGTACCAGGACGGGCTTGGAGGTGACCGCAGGAGAAAGAACCGACTCAGCTCCGCACCTCACGGAGGTAAACGCGGCAATTGCCCAATCGCGTTTTGCAGACAAACTGCTCGGCGTTCTCTCTCTTAAGTCCAAGATTAGTCCTGGTTTAGACCTGGTTACTCAGACCTGACCCACCCGTGTGTAAAAAAAAAAAAAAAAAAACAGAAAAAGAAAATCCGCGAAATAGCGAGACCGCGAAAGGTGAACCGCGATATAGCAAGGGGCGAGTGTAGCTCAATGTCGAGGCCCCACCTCCCACCTCCTGTAAGGTATCCAGGTTTTCACAAATGGAAATATGGCCAACTTAATATTGCACCTACAGTAAATGTTGAACTACATGACGAGAAACAGGAAGCAGCGAGGCAATAAACTCCTTTGTTCCGATGACACTGAATTCCCACGCGGCTCGCTAAACAACAGATAAACCAGAGAGAATAAAATATCAAAACTGAAATAGGCACTGAGAAGGTTTTTGATTGGTGTTATTTGAAAGAAACTTTAAATTAAATCATGCACATAGAGATCGAAATCTGTTTTTTTGTTTGACACTAAAATGGAAAAATTTAATAACAAACCATTTTATTGTTGTTTGTGCTTCATTGAATTCAAAAGAACGAATACTACAAGTTCAAATTTGTTTGCCAGTTGGTGAAGTTTTTCCAAATCTTTTTTTTTTTTTTTTCCTGGGCCAAACTAAGCATTTTTTAAAATAATTTTATTTGAAAGCCACATACATTACAACAAAAAGGAACCAAACAACTTACAGGATACAAGACAGACATTACGATTACGAACATTACATACAAATAGTGACAAAGGTGACAGGCTGGTGACAGTGTAGATGTTATGTGTGTGTGTCTGTGTGTGTGCATATGCATGTGTGTGTGCGTGTGTGTGTGTGTCTGTTTACGGGGGGGTAGACAGGCTATTCAAATGATTTACTGCTAACCTGTTTTATTAGTAGTTAATTTGGATATTGAAAATTGCTGATTCCGAGATGCAAAATAACTTCTCTTTGAGAGTGAACCTGAAAATAGAACAAAAATAAAACATTAAATATAAAAACTTGATCTGTTTGTCTACATTCTGTGAACATTTGAGGTTATTAGCTGGTCCTCAAAGGGTTGATCAGGTTTTGGATTCACCCTGTGTGTTTGTGTGTCCGTCCACCTGCGATAATTCTGCCATTTATGGACTGATTGTCTCCAAATTTGGTACGTGGGTCAAGCTCCCTTACTCAATGCCGCAAAAAAAAAAAGTTTGTTGATGATTCGAGGTCATTTGAGGTCACGCAGGTCAATTGAAAGGTCACGGCATTATAAAGGACAGGCAGTTTTGGCAATTTCTGAACCATCTGCGGCCTAAAATATTCACCAAATCGTCACACAAGTTGGCACACACATAACTGGTGTATGGGCTGGGCTCCTCATAATCTGCTTCTGTGGTGATGAACTGCCTGCACCGATGCCACATGGGGGACCACGTTACTATCTCTGATTGCGCTTGTTTCAATAAGAATTGCCAAAATTATTGGTCTGCGAAGTTATGTCAAAGTTTTTGTGTCACCCTGCATATACAGACTATGGTGTACATGTGGGTCTGGTCAAGTGGTAACGGAGGGAAACAGGGGCAGATTTTTGACATTCAAATGTCTCTTATTCAGAAACTAGAGGGACTATTGAAATAAGTAAAGTATCAGAATGTAGGAAAGAGTTACACTCCAACAGGGTCAAGTTAAACCTGTGATATTCTTTCAAGTTCAAGACAAAAAATTTAAAAACTCATGTCGGTAACGGAGGGAATGAAATATGCAGCACTTTTGGGGCAATAAATCCAAACAGTGATAACTCTTGGTTCTCACTTCCATATCCTTAACAAACTGGTTTGAATATTTGCTTCATATAGTTTTCTACCATATGGTACAAGATTAGGTGGAAAAACCTCTTACTTTTTGAGTCATGAGATTTTTTATTAAACTTACCATCCGCCCGCCGGCGGGCGATTTTCCAAAAAAAGAATTTCACTCTGTATTTTCACCTTCATTATTGTTTTCACTACTGGCATGCCATACATCGTTTGAAAGATTAATTTCTCAATAAAACAACCATATCATTCATTTTATGCCGTACAACGAGCCCAAAACGCTATAACTTAAAAATTCACATCATAATCAAAGAATAAAATACGCGTTTCTTACCTTTGAGCCGGTTCTGTCGGTCCAAAACGCGTTCAATCCATGAAAAGTTGTACTCAATAAATCCGTAATAATCCACAGAAAAAGAATATCAAGTTGTTTTTTCCATAAAATAATTCCATGTGGGGAAATAATCCAAAAAACCCTCGTCTGTATGAATCGATGGATATAATGATATGAAAAAAGTTTCTCTTCTCTCCCTTCTTCCACTGCGTTTCTAGCAGGTTTGCTAGCACTGTTGGGTACGCTTGTTTTCCTCACACTCTTAGCTTCAAAATGAGACCCTCCCCGCTGTTGTCGGTGGCGGGGTTTAGGTGGGACAAGCCGCTGAAGAAGCTAACGCACTCACGTACTTCCTGGCTTTACGCACGCGTCATCAGTTTGTTTACGGGAAATCTCTTCAGTCATTGGATCTTCCAGAAAGTGATTGACATATTGTTTTAGCCTATCACCAGAGCTTTCAAACGGTGGGTGGGACATGCAGATTGTATTGGAAACGGACCCTGTGTTTATAAGCGTAAGAGTGAGGGAGACGGAGCAGTGCGGGCGGTGCCATAGAAGGCAGATCTTCCACTTGGAGGACAATTTTGGCTACTTTTAGTTTTTTTTCTTGAGAAAACATGCCTAAAGCTCAGAAGAATTAGTATTATAATAATAACAATGATTATTATTATTATTATTTTGGCACAAATTTGGCAATCTTGTGCCGAATTGTCATTTTGTATACACAAAGACTCACAGCATCAAAACCCTTTGTCCTAGAGATCTGAAATTCTACACAGTTGTTGCCAACAACTTGAACAATGAGTGTAGTGAGTCACAAATGCCTCGCATGAAGTATGACCAAGCTAAGGCCTTTTTTTTCTTTTTTTTTTTTTTTTTTTTTTCAAAGCAAAAAAATACAATTTTTTTTTCAATTTTAATTGACTGTACTGTAGGTTAGGCAGCACTCACAGTCTTCATGTACATATCTACAGAAACTAGAAGGTCTAAGCTTTAAAATGGTGCCTCACACAAGCATGTGGGTTCTAAGGTTTTCTTTTAATAAGCTATGGCACTTGGGTATGTCTTACCATTGTGCACACACCAAAATGAGGCGGGTGGTAACAGGTTAAGAAAGGTCATGGTAACAGAGGGAAAAGTAACGGAGGGAAAATTGTGCAAACAAGTAGAAGCTGCAGGATTTTACATCATTTGTCGCTTTTTTCTTCCGAATACTTTAATATTACTTCAAAATGAAAGGAAACTATTTCTATAAAATATGTCAGTCCTTCCAAGCAAATTTTTATCATTTTAAATACATTTTTTTGGAAAAATCCTGTACCTTCATCAACAGTTCAAAGATGGAATAACACAAGATATGATGAAATACATCCATTTATTTACATGATTTGCAGGTCTTTGGAATTTGTGAAATATTTTTTGTTCCATGTTTCATACATGGTCTGTTTAAAACATATGGAACTTTAGAACCAAAAATGGAACAGAAAAAAGGTCAACAGTTTCATAAACTAGAGTACATATGTATCTGTTCAATACATTTTTATATCAGATGCATGAACTTGAAGTTTTGGCCTTGCTGTTTACTTCTGCTTGCCTGGACTCATGTATACTGCTTAAAAAAAAAAAGTTGGTAGCACTAATGTGATTCTGTGGTTCTGTGTTTGGTGATACTGAAGCTGAAGAATAACTAAAATCCTGATTGTTGTTGTGTGCTTCAGTCTGCAAGAGCTGTATCGTGCAGCACTTCGAGGAGAGCAACGACTGCCCCAAGTGTGGCATCCAGGTTCATGAGACCAACCCCCTGGAGATGCTGAGGTGAGTGTGTGGAGCTGTGGGACTATGATCTCTTTACATCAGAGAGAAAAGAGTGTTTATCATCCTTTACATGCCCTGTATTTCACAAAATGGCCTCTGGTGAGCTTTTAGTCATGTTCTAATGTTGTTACCTGCCCAGAGTTGTGTTTTGTGAATGAAACAAAACACAAGTCCAGGTGTGTTTGTGATGAGGAAACATTAGAGCAGAGATCAGTGATGGACGCGGTGTGAGTAGGAGACATTCCCAGTGCGTTAAGCCAGTTCCATGAATTGAAAATGGTTTCTGGACGGGAGTTGAAACATCTTGATCGTAAAAACAGAGTCCAGATGATCACAGATGAAACCTTCACAATGTTGAAACACTCCTGGAGGAAAGAAGGATTCAACTGCTCTGTTCTGTTTGTTCCAAACCCTTTTCACAAAATCGTGTCCTTTTAATCACATTTTGGCAACGCATTGTTTTTGTGTTTTAATGTATTTGCAGATATTACATTTTTAGATCAGTACTGGAGGACGAAAGGGGAGAGTGAGGAAGAGGAGGAGGGGCGGGGTCTGGAGGACTAAAGGGGACAGTGAAGGAGGAAGAGGAGAGGAGAATCTGGAGGACTAAAGGGGAGAGTGAAGGGCTAGAAGGGGCGGGGTTGGGGGATTGAAGGGGAGAGTGAGGGAGGAGAAAAAGGGTCGGGATCTGGGGGACTAAAAGGGAGAGTGAAAGGGGAAAATGAGGGTGGGGTCTGGAGGACTAAAGGGGAGAGTGAGGGGGGAGAAAAAGGGTCGCGATCTGAGAGACTAAAGGGGAGAGTGAAGGGGGATAAGGAGGGCGGAGTCTGGAGGACTAAATTAGACAGTGAGGGAGGAGGAAAAGGAGGACCAAAGGGGAGAGTGAGGGGGAGAAAAAGTAGCAGGGTCTGGAGGACTAAATGGGGCAGTGAAGGAGAAGCATCTCAAGGACTAAAGGGGAGAGTGAGGGAAGAGAAAAATGGGCAGGGTCTGGAGGACTAAAGGAGAGAGTGAGAGAGGAAGAAAATGGAGTGGGGTCTAGGGAACTAAAGGGGAGAGAGAGGGAGTAGAAAAAAGGGCGGCGTCTGAAGGACTAAAGGAGACGGTGAGGGGGGAGAAAAAGGGTTGGGATCTGAGGGACTAAAGGGGAGAGTGAAGGGGCGGGGTTGGGGGATTGAAGGGGAGAGTGAGGGAGGAGAAAAAGGGTCGGGATCTGGGGGACTAAAAGGGAGAGTGAAAGGGGAAAATGAGAGTGGGGTCTGGAGGACTAAAGTGGACAGTGAAGGAGGAGGAAAAGGAAAAGGAGGACCAAAGGGGAGAGTGATGAAGGAGAACAAGTAGCAGTGTCTGGGGGACTAAATGGGATAGTGAGGGAGAAGAAAAAGCGAGGGGGTCTCAAGGATTAAACGGGAGAGTGAGGGAAGGGGAAAAAGGGGCAGGGTATGGAGGACTAAAGGGGACAGTGAGGGAGGAGAAAAATGGGCAGGGTATGGAGAACTACAGGAGAGAGTGAGAGAGGAGAAAATGGAGTGGGGTCTAGGGAACTAAAGGGGAGCAAGAGGGAGTAGAAAAAAGGGCGGTGTCTGAAGGACTAAAGGACACGGTGAGGGGGGAGAAAAAGGGTCGGGATCTGAGAGACTAAAGGGGAGAGTGAAGGGGGATAAGGAGGGTGGAGTCTGGAGGACTAAATTAGACAGTGAGGGAGGAGAAAAAGGAGGACCAAAGAGGAGAGTGAGGGGGCGAAAAAGGAGAAGGGTCTGGAGGACAGTGAGGGAGAAGAAAAAGTGAGGGGGTCTCAAGGACTAAAGGGGAGTGTGAGGGAAGAGAAAAATTGGCAGGGTATGGAGAACTAAAGGAGACAGTGAGAGAGGAGAAAAAGGGGAGGGGTCTGGAGGACTAAAGGGGAGAGTGAGAGAAGAGAAAGGAGCAGCGTCTGGAGGACTAAACAGGACAGGGAAGGGGGGGAATCTGGAGGACTAAAGGGGAGAGTAAAGGCGTAGGAGGGGGGATATGGAGGACTAAAGGGGACAGTGAGCGGTGAGAAAAAGCTGCGGGGTCTGGGGGACTAAAGGGGAGAGTGAGGGAGGAGAAAAAGGAGCAGGGGCTGGGGGACTAAAGGGGACAGTGAAGGGGTAAGAGGAGGGCGGAATCTGGAGGACTGAAGAAGAGAGTGAGGGAGGTAAAAAAGGGGCGGAATCTGGGGGACTAAAGGGCACAGTGAGGGGGGAGAAAAAGCAATGGGGTCTGGGGGACTAAAGGGGAGAGTGAGGGAGGAGAAAAAGGAGCAGGGGCTGGGGGACTAAAGGGGACAGTGAAGGGGTAAGAGGAGGGCGGAATCTGGAGGACTGAAGGGGAGAGTATGGGAGGGAAAAAAAGGGGCGGGGTTCTGAAGGGTCTGCGGGGCTAAAGTGAGGGAGGAGAAAACGGGGTGGGGTTTGGGGGACTAAAGGGGAGAGTGAAGGAGGAGAAAAAGGAGGACTAAAGGGGACAGTGAGCAGCCTGGCAACCTCGTCCATGTGAACCGTGCGAGAGATAAAACCTGATTCCTGAATGCACATCTTTGTTAAAGTCCTGGTGAGGCGAGTATTCTTAGCTGGCCTGGATTTTTGGACGTACTCGCTCTGAACCCTTCTATGATACACCGTGACTTATTCTAATGGCTCCAGAGACAGCATGAAATCTCTAATCTCAGCCCTTCATGTTAACTGGCTCGCCAAGTCTGAAAGTTAAAACCTGTTGAACAGCCACCTAAAATATACCCACACTGCAGGGGTGGATGTAGCAGCGTCTTTCAGTATTATGCCCCGTTTCCCAGCTCACATTTCAAATACCAATTTCAACACCAAGAATAACATTACAAGGCTCTGGTTTATGGTTAATATATCTGTCAAAACCGAGCCTATCCACTTCCAGAGACGAGAACAGTTTTGCCGTCACAGTAAAACAGCAACTAGAGTGCTACTCACACACTTCCTGACATAAGAGTAATGAAAATCTTTACTCAAATAAGAGCAGTGTTACTTAAATATAAATATAAATAAAAATATTACTCAAGTAGAAGTAAAAGTACGCTGCTAGAAAAGTAAAGTACAATTTCTTTACAAAAATTATTCAATTAAAGGGCCCATCTCGTGCAAAATCAACTTTTCAGAGCTTCTACCTTCTAAGAGTGATGTGTGGGTATTGTATATGTGACTGAAGTGTTTTTTAGATTGATTTGGCGTTTTTTTTAAACAAATTGCAGCGTGTTTCTGCCACCCTCCCATGTGACAACCAACTAAAGCTGCTACAACGATGACGTGGCAGATACACCTATGATGCGTTTTATGTAGCAGAAAACCCGCCCCCCTCCCCCACTCCACTGCCTCCACCCACTCACACACCGTCGTGCGTCTGCACCGTACAGGTCTAATGTTCTGTGTTATTTATAGGGATGGGCATGATTAATCGATAATTGATCATTAAGAATTTCATCGATTACGTTAATTTTAATCGACAAACCGAAAGTATGTTGCTGTGTGTAGCGTGACCAAACAGGTGTGTACATGTGTCTCTGCACTCAGAAGGAGCGAGACACAAACAGTCGGTCAGTCTGCAACGTGCCGAAATACAAATGTGTATTTAACAATGACTTGTACAAGAAATTCCACGCTTTCCATTGCGTTCGGGACAAGTGTGAGTCCATGTGCACAGTGTATAAAGCAGCACATATGTTTCTGTGTCCAGTGGGAAAATGTTTTGCCAGGTGAGAGTCGCTCAATGAACCCACCTCCCACCCCCCGTACGGTGTCCTGGTTTTGACAAACACAAATATGTTCACACTAACCTGTATTCACCTGAGTCATGTCTTTTAATCCAACAGAAATTTAACCACATCAGCGACACAAGAGCTGTAGATTTATCTTCACTTAGTTTATGCAAATTAGCAATGCAGTTTTAAGTTTTGTTTCTGTGAGAGTTGAACAAAACTGAATTAAACACATTATAATCTAAAACGGGCTGATGTGGCTCTAGAGTGGTTATGGTTTATATGTTGTAAAGTTGAATTTATTTATGCAGATTAGTAGTGCAGATAGTAATAATAATTATCATAATTTTAATATAAAAACTTTAATGATTAATCGATAATCAATCGTTAATTCTTCCGACGATCGATTAAGAAAATTTCATCGAATGCCCATCCCTAGTTATTTATCTTTATTTTTCGCTTCAAACATGCTTTTTGTAACCATGTCCTCATGGAGAAAGTGCCTATTTGGCTGCGATGGCAAGTCGAAATTATTTGGCATGCCGACAGAAGAAGCAAGGCCTGCTAAGTGGCTGGAGTTTATTTCTGGGAACACAGACAAAAAGGTCCCCAAGAATATTTTTGTTTGTGAGCGACACTTCACTGAAGACTGCTTCAGTGAAGAACTACAGGTATTTTAAAACTGGACTTACAACGAAGCAGAAGCGACACTTTGGAAAAGGATGCTGTTCCCACAATACCAAGGTCCAGTGATGGATTCAAGTTTGTCCAATTCTGCCTTCTGTCTCCCCCTCCCTCCCTGAGATGGCGGAGGAAGGGCGGCTCACTCGTCGCCTACGTCACGTTGTGTAATGGATGTTCCAAAACCCAAATTGTGCTTGTTTATGTGTAGAAGATACAATGTGAAAAGAGTTATTTTGCATGAGATGGGCCCTTTAAATGAGTACTGCACACCTCTGAATTTACAACATATATATTCATAGACCAGTCAATATTTTTTCAGTTCTGATCTGTGTTAAAGGGGCAAATTTGGAGCCAAGTTCCATATTTGGAATTCCCACCGTGAGTGTCATAACAAAGAGCCAATCAGAAGCAAGGCTGTTGGACACACTGGTTTATGATTAATATCTCTGTAATGTCTGAGCCTATCCACTTCCAGAGACTAGAACAGTTATGCCCTCACAGCAACTAGCATGCTACTCACACACTTCCTGATTATCAGACAATAAAGTTTTATGTTATGAGATTCTTTTTTCAGACCAAGAGTTTGTTTTCATTCTTGACAGTGTGGACGGCTCAGTAGTGGTCTTTCTCAGAGTCACGTGATGTTTTTGTGACGTGTCTGGTCAGCTGATTTAAACAGGTTTTGCCGTTGTCTTCCTTCCAGTGGAGGCAGGACGACAGCGCCACCTGCAGTCCCACTTCCTCAGGACAGTATCCCAGATGTGTGAGAGTAAAAAAGCCCCCTCGTCCTGGTTTATAGTCCTGTGAGCACGGTTCCGTATTTCGGTGGCCTCTTTAATCCAGCGACGATGTTTGTTTTCCTCTGTCCCAGTGATGTTTGTTCCGTCCCAGTCCAAAATGTGCTTCTCTCTTTTATAGCCGGAAAAAGAAATAGCAGATTTGAGTTGTTCCTGTTCTGCTTTGTGTTTAATTGCTCATCTGCACGCCTTCGCCGTTTCCTTCTGTCTTATGTTCCTTTTGTTCTGTTACATTTGCCAAAACCTATATAAATCAGCTGACCTGACACATCACAGCAACATCACATGACCACTCTGAGGAAGAGCGCTAAAAGAGCCGTCCAAACAAACTCTTGGTGTGAAAAAATAACTTAATAACTTCAATTATCGCAAGACCAAATGAACCTCATTGGAATAAAGAGCTTTATAATTAGATGCAGGGTGACAGTAACTCAGTTGGTAGCATAGACTGTATGAAGAAATGGACAATGGGAGTGTGATGTCACCCACAGTGTTCGGCTCCAGTCAAATGAAGCTCATCAAGACTTGCAGTTATAGGAGTGATTTTAATGCAGAGTTCCATATTAAGAATATGAATTTATTTATGGACAAAGTAGTTGAATAGGATCATGTAGAGCAGGTTAATTGGAACATTTGAAGACCAATATGACTCACAGCAGCGGTTACAGAGGGGGGGGTGATGTAGCTGGAATGGTCACATTTGGTCACATTTTTATACAGCGCTTTTCCACCTTCAAGGCTCAAAGCACTTTACGACAAGGAACCGCTCACCCATTCACACACCCATTCACGCACCAGTGTACACAGACACTGGGGGCGAGGTGGGTTAAGTGTCTTGCCCAAGGACAACGACAACATTCGTCTGTAGGAACTGAAATCGCGCCGCCAACCTGAGAGTCTGAGCGCTCTACCAGTGTCGTTTATATTGAAAGCAGGATTCGAACCGCCAACTTGATTAATAGTGTCTCCGTGAATAATTCCTATTTGTCTGTTTATATACACAGTCTGTGCTTGGTAGAGTCCACTGATCTTAAGGTTGGCGGTTCGAATCCCGCTCTTGACATAAGCGTTATCAGTCAAGCGCTCGGATCCACTGACTCACAGGTTTGCGGTGCGGTTCCAGCCCCCACAGATGAATGCTGTCGTTGTGTCCTTGGGCAAGACACTTAACCTCCCTCCCCCCCAGTGTCTGTGTACACCGGTGTATGAGTGTGTGTGTGTGTGAGTGGTTCCTTATTGTAAAGCTCTTTGGGTGCCTTTAAGTTGGAAAAGCGTTGTATAAAAAGCGACCATTTGCCATCACAGTAAAGCCAACAGCAACTAGCATGCCACTCGCGCACTTTCTGATGATCAGACATTAAAGCGCTGTATAATCAGATGCAGTCTGTCTCTAACTCGGTCCTGTCTCTGTGCGTTCTCAGGTTGGACAATACACTGGAGGAGATCATTTTCAAGCTGGTGCCCGGCCTCCGAGAGAGTAAGTGCGCAGATGGCCCCTTCAGTCTCCACAGCGTGCGGCTCAGGTTTAATTAAGTGCATGTTCACAGGAGGTAAACCCAATTAGAGCGCTCATTACAGCCATAATCAATATTAACGAACACAAACTACTTATGTATGTAACAGTGTCCAGTTAGCGCAACAATTAGTGGAACATGATTGAATAGAAAGTGTGGTTTGTACTTAGGGTTGGTCATCATGCCAATTCATCTTTTCTTTCTTATATTGATAGGGAGATGCTTTATTATCCTGAAGGAACATTTTCAGGCAGCAAACAATACATACCACAAAACATAATGTAATACATGACATCATTTTATATCAGTATGTCAAATTAGAGTGAAGAGTGAAGAGTATGGCATGTGGTATAAACAACTTCCAGAGTGTATCTGGAGCAGGGCAGGGACAACAGCCTGTCCCCAAAGGTGCTCTCCTGTCCGGCGAAGGTGATGAAGGGGGTGCTGGGAGTTCTCCAGATGTACAGGAGTTTGTTTAAGGCTCAGTTCTCAGCCACAGATGTGAATGAGTAAAGATCTGCACTCACACATCAACGATAACTGAATCTGCTCAGTCACATTTTACATTTTTATTATATTTATTCATGTATGTGGCTTTCAGTACAGCAATACCAGGTGCCAGAGTCAGACAGCAGCAGCTCCAGTGGAAACCTCCTTCCCTATGATGATGTAGATTGGCAGCCTCGCTTCTGTTATTCTGCCCCAAGGCAGCTGTGCACTACCACAGAGTGTGGAGTGAATGAATAATACACTTAATAACACATTAGGCCTATACATAATATATATATAAATGCAGTTCATTATGTTTATTCTAAAAATGTAAAGTCCTCTCCAGACCTCATGCTGCTCAGTCTGTGTCTGTGAATCTGAGTCTGTGAGTCTGAGTCTGTGAGTCTGAGTCTGTGAGTGTGTGAGTCTGTGGGTGTGTGCGTCTGTGGGTGTGTGCGTCTGTGAGTGTGAGTCTGTGTCTGTGAGTCTGTGAGTGTGTGCGTCTGTGAGTCTGTTAGTCTGTGGGTGTGGAGTTGGTGACAGAGCCTCGAACAGCTGCCTGTGAACAGATCAACAGGTGGAGGAGCAGGCGGGTTATTCCAGACGTGTTTTTATGGGACACTATTTCATCCATGACAGGCAAAATAGTGATGTCACTCAACACCTTCTCAGAAGTTTGCAGTGGTGTCAATAAGATGTAGATGTTTTTCACATGAGCTGTTAAAAGAACTCTATGTGCCCTGTGCTCCACAATTAAAAAAAGGTATTACAGTCACAATTAACAACTGAACCTGTGTTGCCAGGGTCTTGACAGTAAAGTCTACAGTTCACAAGAGAATCATCCAGTCACAGAGCAGAATGAGCCTCACATGACTCTCTGATCTAAATGATCTCTACCTAAACCCCAGCACCTGCACCAGTTGTGTCAGTGCTAGTGCAGCCTCTGCAGCTCAGGGAGGGAATTCTGGAGATTCTGAGCTTTCACATGAAGCAGGACATGCCCATAAACTGAGACTGAGACAAATATGTATGTTTCACTGAAGTCCAGACTTTGTCCATCCATCCGGTGACTTCAGGAAAGTTTCATGGTGCATCCTCCTGGTGTCACAAGTTTCTTTCTCACTCCAAACTGTTTTCCTGCTGCTTGATTACCGACTGCAGATTTCACGACTTGCAGCTTGTTATCTGCAAAATATGATTTTCTTTTTGGGAGCATTTGTGGCTCTTTCTGCAGGAGACATGTGCAGTAGAGTGAAGTGACAGTGGTACAGAAAGAACAGGAGCAGCAGATACTCACACACAAGACTAGAACCTCTCGGGGCTGTCAGTGTGAGAATTTTAAAGGGCCCATCTCATGCAAAATCATCTTTTCAGAGCTTTCTACCTTCTAAGAGTGATGTGTGGGCCTTGTATATGTCGCCAAAGTGGTTTTTAGATTGATTCAGCTTTTTTTTTTTTACAAATTGCAGCGTCCCTCCCACGTGAAAATGAACTAAAGCTGCTACAACGATGATGCGGCAGATACACCTATGACGCGTTTGACGTAACAGAAAGCACTTCGCACCCGACCTCCACCCGCCCCACCCAGTGTATTGTTCTACACGATATAATAGGTTGATCTACTAGTGTTTAATACTTTACCAATCAATAATGTTCAGCTGATGTGGACGCGGTGCTTGAGCTTCGTGCTCCTCAAAGTCCTCGTCCAATTCCGGGTCCAACACATGCGGCTGAACGCGCTGTATCTCCATGATGAATAAAAGTTTATTCCTGCCACTATCAGGGTGCACGTCTGTCTCCCCCTCCCTCCCTGAGATGGGAGGAGGAAGGGCGGCTCACTCAGAGCTTACGTCACATTTGGAGGGCGGAGCCTGTGCTTTCTCAGGACGGGTCGGGGGAGGAGCAATAGTAGAGTTTCATTGTTGACAAAAGCACGCGTTGCATGCTGGGAATTATTTTGGTCGGCGGCAAGAAACACTAATTCAACATGACGGACGGAGCGAGAAAACACGTAAAGGGTATTGATCCTGGTTATTTATCCACTCTAACGGCAGAGGACCCAAGACCATTTGACCAGAAATTGGTCATAAGCATCGATGGAGCCAAATCACCCTTTTCAACCCTGACAAAAGGTGGACCAAACCAAATTTCTGGTCAGAATCCCCAACTACCTGGACAAATATTCACTTGGGCGATATCCACAATGACTTGGTGGAAACTCCTGGACCATTCACAGCAGAAAAGATGAAAACCTCCAAGAGTCTGGATGTGTTGTTGAACTTGTTGGAGTCCACGGTTTGTTAGGATCTTCTACGTTTTCTCTGCGAATGTGTGAAAGTCGTTTAATTCACGGTTAGTGGTTCTTTTCACTCAGAATACGAAAAAGACATTTTCCTTCTTCCGTGCTTCTATTTGTGCATCCGATAATGCAGCAGGAATTTACCATTATCGGGGATAAATACGTGAGGTTACGCACTGTGTTTGACCACTATCGTGTTTCTTGCCTCCGACCAAAATATTTCCCAGCATGCAACGCGGGCTTTAATAACAATGATGTCAGCTGAAACTCGCCTATACTCGGCCTTTTTTGAGTTTTGCAGATGTAGACAGACTAATAATAAAGGATTACTCAAACATGTGAATGAAACAAAACAACTGTGATCATGTCGTACTCTCAGATTGGGCAGAGACATATTTTGTTATTGTTGACATCGTACTTCACCATGAAATATCCAAAAGGCAAATTCACAGACGTTAAACCTGATCATTTCTATTAGTGACTAGACCCACGACTCCCAGTATCTGCATGTGAACAGTTTTCATCGGCGTGTACAGTGTGGTGTCGTCGTCTGAAACCGGCGATGATCCAAATGTCCAGTTTATCTGTGAATCTGCGAATCTGCGGGTTTTTCCATCTCGCCCGAAATGAGTGGAGAAAATGAGAAAAGCAGCGGTTTATAGTGCGCACATCTGAAGCTGGGGTTTCCATCACAGACGCCGCAGCACGTGGAATATTCTCCTCCAGACTCACTCTCGCTCACATCAGCCCAGCTACTGTCTGTGTGTGTGTGTGTGTGTGTGTGTGCGGCACGGACACTCACACCCTCTCTCTCTCTCTCTCTCTCTCTCTGTCTCTCTCTCTGTGGTCTGTCTATCTTTCTATCGGTCTTTCTCACACTCATCTGTCTCACTTCTGTCTCTCGTTATCTTGCTATCTCTCTCTATCTCTTTCTCTGTCTGCCTTTATGTCTGTCTCTCTTTATCTCTATTTATCTTGGGTTCCTGTTCTCTCTCTCTCTATTTCTCTTCTGACTTGTCTTTTCTTTCTCTGTCATCTTTTTCACTCTCCTGTCTCATGCCTCTGTCTCTCTTCTGTCTCTCTCTCTTCTGGCTGTCTCATTCACTGTCCTTCTTGTCTCTCTCTCTCTCTATCTATCTCTCTATTTCCCTTCTGACTTTTTTTTCTTTTTATCTTTTTTATCATCTTTAACTCTCCACTGTCTCTCTCTCTTCTGGTTCTCTCAATCACTATAATTCTCATCTCTCTCTCTCTCTTTCTCTTCTCGCTTTTCTTTTCTTTCTGTATCATCTTTTTCACTCTGTTCTGCCTCTGTCTCTCTCTCTCTCTCTCTCTCTCTGTTTTCTGTCTATCTTTCTATCGGTCTTTCTCACGCTCATCTGTCTCACTTCTGTCTCTCGTTATCTTGCTATCTCTCTCTATCTCTTTCTCTTTGTCTGCCTCTATCTCTTTCTCTCTTTATCTCCTGGATTCCTGTTTTCTCTCTCTCTCTCTATTTCTCTTCCGACTTTTCTTTTCCTTCTGTGTCATCTTTTTCACTCTCTCACCTTTATCTCCGTATCTTTCTTTGTCTTTGTATCTTTCTATCTTCTGTCTTTCTCTCTTCTGGCTCTCTCACTCACTATCCTTCTTGTTTCTCTCTCTCTCTCTCTCTCTCTCTCTCTCTTTCTCTTCTGACTTTTTTTTCTGTGTCATCTTTTTCACTCTCTTCTGTCTCACACCTTTATCTCTGTCTTTCTCCTGTCTTTGTGTCTCTCTCTCCTGGCTGTCTCATTCACTATCCTTGTTTCTCTCTCTCTCTCTCTCTCTCTCTCTCTCTCTCTCTCTATCTATCTCTATTTCTCTTCTGACTTTTCTTTCTTTTTATCTTTTTTATCATCTTTAACTCTCCACTGTCTCTCTCTCTCTCTGTTTCTCTTCTCACTTTTCTTTTCTTTCTGTGTCATCTTTTTCACTCTCTTCTGTCTCACACCTCTCTTTCTATTTGTCTGTCTCTCTCTCTCTCTCTGTGGTCTGTCTATCTTTCTATCGGTCTTTCTCACGCTCATCTGTCTCACTTCTCTCCTTCGTTATCTTGCTATCTCTCTCTATCTCTTTCTCTCTGTCTGTTTCTTTCTGTCTCCCTCTATGTTTATCTCTCTTTATCTCCTGGATTCCTGTTCTCGTCTCTCGCTCTATTTCTCTTCTGACTTTTCTTTTCTTTCTGTGTGATCTTTTTCACTCTCTTCTGTCTCACACCTCTGTCTCTGTCTCTCTCTTCTGGCTGTCTCACTTGCTATCCTTCTTGTTTCTCTCTCTTTCTCTTTCTCTCTCTATGTTTCTCTTCTGACTTTTCCTTTCTTTCTGTGTCATCTTTCTCACTCTCTTCTATCTCACACCTTTCTCTCTATCTCTCTCCTGTCTTTCTGTCTCTGTCTCTTTCTCTCCTGGCTGTCTCATTCACTATCCTTCTTGTCTCTCTCTCTCTCTCTCTCTATTTTTCTTCTGTCTTTTCTTTCTTTTTATCTTTTTTATCATCTTTAACTCTCTGCTGTCTCTCTCTCTTCTGGTTCTCTCAATCACTATAATTCTCATCTCTCTCTCTCTTTCTCTATTTCTCTTCTGACTTTTCTTTCTTTTTATCATCTTTAACTCTATCTCTCTACCGTCTCTCTCTCTTCTGGTTCTCTCAATCACTATAATTCTCTTTCTCTCTCTATTTCTCTTCTGACTTTTTTTTCTGTGTCATCTCTTTCACTCTCTTCTGTCTCACGCCTCTGTCTCTATCTCTCTCCTGTCTTTCTCCCTTCTCTCTCTCTTCTTCTGGCTGTCTCATTTGCAATCCTTCTTGTTTCTCTCTCGTTCTCTTCTCTCTCTGCCTCTATTTATCTTCTGAGTTTTCTTTCTTTTTATCTTTTTATCGTCTTTAACTCTGTCTCTCTGCTGTCTCTCTCTCTTCTGGTTCTCTCAATCACTATAATTCTCTTTCTCTTCTCGCTTTTCTTTTCTTTTTGTATCATTTTTTTCACTCTCTTCTGCCCCTGTCTCTCTCTCTCTCTCTCTGGTCTGTCTATCTTTCTATCGGTCTTTCTCACGCTCATCTGTCTCACTTCTGTCTCTCGTTATCTTGCTGTCTCTCTCTATCTCTTTCTCTCTGTCTGCCTCTATGTCTGTCTCTCTTTATCTCTATCTATCTTGGGTTCCTGTTCTCTCTCTTTCTCTCTATTTCTCTTCTGACTTTTCTTTTCTTTCTGTGTGATCTTGTTCACTCTCTTTTGTCTCACACCTTTATCTCTTGTCTCTCCTGTCTTTCTCTCTTCTGTCTCTCTCTTCTCCTCTGTCTCTCTCACTCACTATCATTCTCGTTTCTCTCTCACACTGTCATTTGTCTCGCGTCTTTCTCTCAAATGTCTCTTTGCTGTGTGTCTTTCTCTTGCGTGTCCATGTCTCTCTTCTGTCCATCTCACTCTCCTCTCTTTCTCTCTTTCTTTCTTTCTTTCTTTCTTTCTTTCTCTCTTTGTGTGTGTGCAGAGGAGGAGCAGCAGGAGCTCGAGTTCTGGAAGAAGAACCAGCCTTTGGAGAACGGACAAGGTAACAGCTCTTTTACGGGACATTGAAAAAGTTCTTAAAGGTGCACACACAGACTGTAGATGCAAATGGACGCTTCTGGCTCCATCAGCTCTGGCTCCAGTTTGCATTCTATTGAAAAACTGTCACTCTCTCTCTGTAACTGCTCTATCCATTTTGATACTTTGTCCGTGAAACTAGATATGAACATTAACAACCAACCGATCAGGTGCTTTCTCTCCCCGAGGTTGCTCCTGCTCGAGTTAGAAACAGATTTGATTAATTGACGTAGCGTTATTAAGATCCAAATTCAGCCCTATACCTGCAAGCCTCGATGAGCTTCATTTGACTGGTGCTATGGTTGATGTCACACTCCTTTAGTCCAAATTAGTTTGCCAGTTGGTGAAGTTTTTCCAGTTTTTGCACTGGAGTAAGAAAGATTTCAGAAATATCCGTGTGAGGGAAGAAATCTGTAAATATTTGTCTGTAGTTGAGCATAAAATAAAAATTGGTAAACTCTCAAGTGAGTCCAGTCATGTGTATGTATAAAATGTATTCTGTAGTCCTGGTTCAGTCCTGGTTTAGACCTGGTTTAGTCCTGGTTCAGTCCTGGTTTAGTCCTGGTTGAGTCCTGGTCTAGTCCTGGTTCAGTCCTGGTTTAGACCTGGTTTAGACCTGGTCTAGACCTGGTTCAGTCCTGGTTTAGTCCTGGTTTAGACCTCGTTCAGTCCTGGTTTAGTCCTGGTTTAGTCTTGGTTCAGTCCTGGTTTAGACCTGGTTCAGTCCTGATTCAGTCCTGGTTTAGACCTGGTTTAGTCCTGGTTTAGACCTGGTTTAGACCTCGTTTAGTCCTGGTTTAGTCTTGGTTTAGTCTTGGTTCAGTCCTGGTTTAGACCTGGTTCAGTCCTGGTTCAGTCCTGGTTTAGACCTGGTTCAGTCCTGATTCAGTCCTAGTGTAGTCCTGGTTCAGTCCTGGTTTAGTCCTGGTTCAGTCCTGATTCAGTCCTAGTGTAGTCCTGGTTCAGTCCTGGTTTAGTCCTGGTTCAGTTCTGGTTTAGACCTGGTTTAGTCCTGGTTCAGTCCTGGTTCAGTCTGTATGTGGTGCAAAAGTCCGGCATCTCCATCGATGTTTCTTCTTCTGCTGTGTGTATTTTCTCCAACACAATACGAACTGAAAAGTGACAACATCAAGAATTACAATCACAAAATGAAAATTTATGATTGCGCTTTCTTTATTTCAAATACAAATTCACAGATGCAACGAGACTGTCAAAAATACATCATTGTTATTTACATTTTTTTACGTTATTTATTGAACAGAAGAAACATCAATTGAGATGCTGGACATTTGCTCCACATACGGACTGAACCAGGACTAAACCAGGACTAAACCAGGACTAAACCAGGACTACACACATTTAAATACAAACACATTTTATATATGACTGGACTCACTTGAGAGTTTACAAATATTTATTTTTATCAGATTTCTTCCCTATGCACACAAATATTTCTGAAATCTTTCTTACTCCATTGCAAAATCTGGAAAAACTTCACCAACTGGCAATCTAATTTGGACTAAAGGAGTGTGACATCAACCATAGCACCAGTCAAATGAAGCTCATCGAGGCTTACAGTTACAGTGATGAATTTGGAGCTTAGCCAAGATCAGATCTGTTTCTAACTCGAGCGGGAGCAACCTTGGAATACAGAATACATTTTATGCATGACTGGACCCATTCGAGAGTTTACAAATATTTATTTTATGCTCAACTACAAACAACTATGCACAGATTCCCCAAATATGCAGATTTTTCTATCCTATGCACACAAATATTTCTGAAAGCTTTCTTACTTCATACACGGTGCAGAGTCGTGGGTGACTGTGTGCGAGCAGAGTCCAAAACACAAAACGACTTCTCGGCTCAACCTGAAAACACAACAAAAATAAAACATTCAATATAAACTCTTGATCTGTTTCTGTACATTCTGTGAAAATCTGAGGTTATTTCAACAAAAAATGCCAAAGTCTGTGAAATTGTTAAATTTTTGGGGACCTTCTGTATTTTACTCAACTTAAAGTAAATTCAGTTGGTTTTAGACGGAATAAGACGACATGGAGACACAAGTATATTTCGTTCTCTGGCATATGCACTTGTGCTAATTACAAACTCATTGCATTTAAACTTTACGCTTTTATGAAATGTAACGTGAGCAGTGAGTAAACAAACTGACTGTAAAGACTGTGTGTTCCAGCAGACAGTGTGAAGCATCAGAAAGCACCAGAGGGAGGAGAGGAGCCTGGAGGAGGAGGAGGAGGAGGGGATGGAGGAGGAGGAGGAGGAGGAGGGGACGGAGGAGGAGCAGAGGAGCAGGCCCAGGACTTCCACAGGAGTGACCCTCAGATCGCCATCTGTCTGGACTGTCTCCACAACACGGGACAGAGCCAGGACACGTCTGTCACGGTACGTCTCACACTCGGAGAGACGGGAGCATTCTGTTTGTACAAAGGCCTGAGGAAGGAGTTTGAGTCAGTGTGTCTCATTCAGGAATGTTTTCTTCAAACATTATCATAACTTCCACTTTAAGAAGATGCTGAGAGAACGCTGTGTCAGCCAAATGTCTCCTATTTATTTCTTTACATAAAAAATGAATTGTATTTGGGAAGAAACAATAAGCGAGGGTTTTCATTGTGTTTATCGTGCCTCTGTGAGCAGCAGACCAGAGCCAAATCTGCAGAATTTTGTACCTTTGCTACTCAACTATTCTAATTTGTGTGTAGACCTTGATCTTAAGAGCTGTTGGGGTTTTGGTGTGGGTACATGCAGACCTTGGTGAACACCTCACCTGCTCCTGAACATCTGCCTGGTGGACACGTCCCTCATGACTCTCACACTGTTCCTCCTCCCCCTCCTCTCTCCATCTTCTCCTCCTCAGGACCTGATGAAACGGTTCATCCGTTGCTCCAGCCGAGTCACCGTGGGAACTATCAAGAAGTTCCTCAGCCTCAAACTGAAGCTGCCCAGCTCCTACGAGGTAACAGAGACACAGGGACAGGAGGAGTGAGGATATTCAGAGCATGGAATCCTTCTGGTCCAATATTAATCTGAATCATTTAGTCAAACATAGTCAGGGTTTATGTTCATACACTTTGGAAATTCCGTACGTAGCATAGAGAGAAATATACGTAATAAAATGTCGAGCATTGTTTTGTTTTATTGTATATAAGGTAAAGGAGGAGTCTCCAACCTGTAGCTCGGGAGCTACCAATACTTCTCCACCCCCTTCCTAGTAGCTCAGTAGGGATTGAATTACACGTATTGTCCCGAATAAGAAAAAAATTTATAAATTAAGTGCCTATTACCATTGTACATGGTAATAGGCATTTACCGTTATCAAGTGGTAACGGAGGGAAACGGGCAGATTTTTGACATTCAAATGTCTCTTATTCAGAAACTAGAGGAACTATTGAAATAAGTAAAGCATCAGAATGTAGGAAAGAGTTACACTCCAACAGGGTCAAGTTAAACCTGTGATATTCTTTCAAGTTGTCGACAAAAAAATAAAAAACTCATGTTGGTAACGGAGGGAATGAAATATGCAGCAATTTTTGGGCAATAAATCCAAACAGTGATAACTCTTGGTTCTCACTTCCATATCCTTAACAAACTGGTTTGAATATTTGCTTCATATAGTTCATATACAGTCACAAGTGAACCTGCGTCCCCAGAGCTTTACCCTGCAGGTAGAGGACACAAGTTTATACAAGTTTGTCTCATTCTCAGTATATGTACAGGTCATGGCTCATGTGAAAGCTCAGAACCTCCAGAATTCCCTCCCTGAGCTGCAGCGGCCACACTAGCACTGACACATGACTGCTGCAGGTGCTGGGGTTTAGACATTTTAGGTTTAAACACCCTGGATTTTCGCCAGTGACATAACAGCTCACATTTTCACACATGACACCTCCTCACAGCGCGTACTTCCCCTTCCCTTTCACTTCCTGCTCTGCATCTGCCTCTCTACTGCACTCTCTGACCCCACGTTCTGTCTCTCACCCCGTTCCGACCCCACGTTCAGTTCTCATACCACATTCTGACCCCGCATTCTGTTCTCTGACCACTGATACTCTGTACTCTGTGTGTGTGTGTTCGTTCATTCATATACGTTTGTGTGTGTGTGCAGTTGGACGTGCTGTGTAACGGAGAGATCATGGGCCGAGACCACACTCTGGAGTTCATCTACATGACGCGCTGGAGGCTGCACGGAGAAAACGTGAGTCACACTTCCTCGTAGCGCCCAGCTCGGTGCCGCACTTCCTGGTTGTCCACTTCTTGGTTTGATGTCAATTTTTTTGGTTTGGCTGTAATTATCACATAATCAGACAAACTACAGCACATAGATCAGTTTATTTTACTCTTTAAACATGCACACGACCAGTTGGACACACCCTCTTATGTGTTTTGTCTTTATCTTTACTGTGTGCTTCAGTGTTGGGAGTAACGTGTTATAAAAGGAACAAATTACTGTAATGCATTGCTTTTTGCTGTAACACAGTAATGTGGTGTTACAGGGAAAAAAATTATTAATATTTTACTCGGTACAAATGTCAGTAATCACGCGTTACAATGCTTTTTTAACCTGGATTGAAGTGGTGGGTTTTTCTTCATACAAATTCGCTAAAATCACCTCGATATCAGCAGCGGTGAAACGCCAGAGACGCGCCCACGTAGACCGTCAGGTGACCACCAGCGAAAGGACCGATGCACAACTCCACGCTCCACTCGGCGAACCGCAGCTGACGCCCGATCGCGTTTTGCGGAAACCCTGTCTGCAAAGTGCTTCCAAGTTCTGGTTTAGACCTGGTTTAGTCCTGGTTCAGTTCTGCTTTAGTCCTGGTTTAGTCCTGGTTCAGTTCTGCTTTAGTCCTGGTTTAGACCTGGTTTAGTCCTGGTTTAGTCCAAATACGGCGCAAAAGTTCAGCATCTTGACTCGGTTATTTTGGTGAGAGTCACTTAAAAGTTCTACAATAGTTGTGTAATGTTTTACATTTTAAATACAATAATATTGTAATATAACAAATTACTTTGAAATGACAGTAATGAGTAATACATAACGCATTACAGTCTTAAAGTAACTTGCCCAACAGTGGTGCTCTTTATAGTGGAGTGGATTCGCCTCTCCACAGTTCTGACCTGTAACTTGTCCTGGTGGCATCAAGACAGACAGAAAGACGTGCAGTTTCATTTGAGTAAACTGAGGCCATCCAGTTTCAAACCAAACATGTGAGTCCAAGTAATAACTCACTGGAGACAAGATAGAGAAGAACCTTTAACATTGTTCCCTGAGCCAGCGTTTTTTTTCTTATCTAAGTAACATAATAAAATCTGATAGGGAACACAACACGGCGCAGTACTTGCTCTTAATAGTGTGAGTGTGAGTGTTGTTAGCAGATCCTCCGGTGTCAGTCCATGAAACGTGGAGCCAGAGCAGACGGAGCAGACGCTCGTCACAGCTCCTCTCCCTCAGAGTCATGTGACACTCGCCTGATGTTTGTTCATGTAAAACTCTCGGGGTTTATACGGCTCGTCCTGCAGGAGACTGACAGATACATGTCCTTCCTCCAGGGCGGCAACATGAATCACTCTCACTTTTAAACTGCAGTTTGAATCTGATCATTTGTGTTTAACTTGTTGGGTTCTTTTTAAAGACAATGCAGTAAAGTGTATTTACCTTGTTGACATGTTTCTGCTGCTCGCTGCAAGCATCTTCAGAACAAGATCATAGTCACACTACCAAACATCAGAGGTATAACTGAACCCATCCAGAGCCATGAAAAAACACAACATAAGCACTGGAGTAAAACCAGACACAAAACTCCACCAACAACTCCCCAAGGACAAAATCCCCACAAGAACAAAAATGCAACGCCATATACGAAATTCAATGCAAATCATGCAATAAATCAAACACAGGGGAAACGGCCGGGCATTTCACATCCGAAAAAAGGAACACCAAAAGGAATGTGAAAAGAAAAGATCAGGGAGACTCACCAGAACACAAAAAGACAAAGCAGAACAGGAAAATCAAAAATCTGCCCTATCAAACACTGTAAAAGGAACAACCACATTCTGGATTGGGACGGAGCTCGGGTCATTGGATCAGAAAACAACAAGTTCAAACTCTGGATCAAGGAGGACAGTGAAATCAGGAAACGAGGCACGGACAGAATTAACCGTGATGATGGCGCGTTCCTCCTTTCACACACCTGGGACACCCTCCTCCAGAGACACCGGGCGACGGGAGGCGTGGTCAGTCTGAGCGACCTGCAGGTCCATCAGGCTGACCACGCCTACAGGAAGTAACAACAGCTGACCACGCCTACAGGAAGTAACAACAGCTGACCACGCCTACAGGAAGTAACAACAGCTGACCACGCCCTACAGGAAGTAACAACAGCTGACCACGCCTACAGGAAGTAACAACAGCTGACCACGCCTACAGGAAGTAACAACAGCTGACCACGCCTACAGGAAGTAACAACAGCTGACCACGCCTACAGGAAGTAACAACAGCTGACCACGCCCACAGGAAGTAACAACAGCTGACCACGCCCACAGGAAGTAACAACAGCTGACCACGCCTACAGGAAGTAACAACAGCTGACCACGCCTACAGGAAGTAACAACAGCTGACCACGCCTACAGGAAGTAACAACAGCTGATATACGACACATCACCACCAACACCAGTGACAGTTCTGAAGATGGCTTACAGCTGCAGTCGAAACATGTCAACAAGGTAAATACACTTTACTGCATTATCTTTAAAAAGAACCTAAGAAGTTAAAGTATATAAGAAGACATAATGAACATCACTGGCTTGATCATTTGTGTGGTGAAGTCATGGTAAAATAATACAAACAAATGTAGTTTAACTGTAGTTATAAAACTGTACAAACACGGTCTGTGTACCATTTGTTCTTTTGAATTTCAACTAAGAACTAACAACAATAAAATGGGAAAAAAGTTTGTTATTTCATTATTTTTTATTGAATTAAATGTAATTAATTTAAAGTTTATTTCAAACAACACCAATCAAAAAACATTCATTGTGCCTGTTTCAGTTTGGATATTTGATTCTCTCTGGTTTATTTGCCCCGGACGTTCTGCTGCTAGAAGGACTTACCTGAAAAATCGTTGCAGTTTTGTGGGCAAACATGTCTTCTGCTTTTGTAGTGACTCATTCACTTTCACGTCTTAGAAAGTCATTGTTGAACTCCATGACGAGAAACAGAAAGCGGTGAGGCGATAAACTCCTTTGTCCAGGGCAAATAAACCAGAGAGAATAAAATATCAGAATTAAAATAGGTTTTTTGGTATCATTTGAAATAATCTTTAAATTAAATATTGGAAATAGAGGTCGAAATCTGTTTCTGAAGGAATGATCAAATTGAATATACTGACTACCACCAATATATTAGGCAATATAGGTGAAGTGGCTTCAGTGTTGGGGAGTAACAGATTACATGTACTGGAGTTATGTAATCAGAGTACAAATTATGAGTAACTGTATTCAGTTACAGTTACTGTTTCAATGAGTGGTAATTGGATTACAGTTACTTTGTTGACATAAGTGAATTACATGGCGGTATTTTCCTGTTTTTACATTTTGTTCTATGTCCCTTTTTTTTTTTTCTTTTTTTCTTTTTTTTTTTTTTTTTCGTAATTCCACTCATTGCCGGACACTAAACCAGGTCTAAACCAGGTGTAAACCAGGACTAAACCAGGTCTAAACCAGGACTAAAACAGGATTTAACAGGACTAAATCCTGCTGCGTGGACGTGTCTCCTCTTCTTCTATCAATAATATTTTTAATTTGGTTCAGTAAAGTCTGGGCTTTTTATTTTCTTTTATCAGACAAAACTTCTTATGTTACGATTTCCACGTCTTTGTTTCTCTACAACAAATCAAGTAATCAAAGTATTCAGATTACATTACTCACTTTAAGTAATTTAATGGATTACGTTACAAACTACATTTTGGGTTATGTAATCTGTAATCTGTAGAGAAGTACATTTTAAAAGTAACTTTTGAGTGTCTTGCCTTAGGACACAACAACAGTCACTGTCGCTCCACTGCCACAGCACTGCATTGTTTCACTTTGGTTGTGTTTATTACACTGAAAAATAGAGCAAGAACATGCCTCATTACTGTGAACGACTTTGCATCTCCTCATGGAGTTCACAAATGTGTTATTTTAGGACACTTTTTAAGATTTTGGGGATTGTTGGTGCTTCTGTAGGTCTTTGCTAAATGCTACAACATCCTTAGGCATATTTGGACTGTGTTATATTTCACTTTTTTCTCATTAAACCTCTCAGAGTTACATTTAAAGTGATTCATTCATCTTCATTCTTGTGTTTTCACCACATCATTGCTCCAGTCTGCGCCCATTTCACCTCCACAGTGCACTCCCACTGTGACGTACTTACTTCATTCTCCAATTTTCTTTTCATAACCAGTGATAAACGTGGGATTCTGCAGCATTGTGTTGTGTCATTTTTGTACAAATGAAAATAAATTCGCTGCTTGCTTGTGTTATGTGCAGCTATACAAAGGAGGAGCAAATAAATGTTCTGTGTTTTGTTGTGACGACGTTTACAGTGACAGACCGTCAAGAGTCAGTCTGCTCTGTGATTTTCCAACCCAAAAATCAGCAAACCTTTTCCTTTATTAAGTAATTTTAGATCAGTATTGCAATTTAAAATGTCCAAACGATAACATAAAGATCCAGGGTTTCAAGCCCAGTGTGTCTTCTTTAACCTTCTCTTTTCTTTTCTCCGCAGACATACCCCATGGTCCTCGAGTACAGACCTCGCATAGACTTTGGCTGAAGTCCTCGTGCGCCTGTTTGAAGCACTTTTGCACACGAGCATGTGCAGAGCAACCAAGAGATTAAACGTATTTTTGTACAGTGAACCAGGAAGTGCAGGCATTGTTATGATAGAGAGGTTTTATGCTACTACATAGAATAATATATATACTATTATATATGATATTTTGAAATGTCCGTCCCTGTGCCTAAACCTGACAATGAAGTCTGAGCATATCGTCACTTGCCTGTCCAACTAACTGTAGATTAAATTGTGATTTTATATTGTTTAA